GGATTCAATTAGAGAAGGGAACCATATAATGGAAAGAATTTAATTAGCCATAATTATGTTTTAAAAATATTTTATTGCATAATATAAAGAGAATATAGATGATATATGGTAATTAGTTAAGATGGCATAAATATTCGAAAATCATCTCAAGATAAAGAGTAATATAGCCTATTAATATGGGAAGAAGTTAAGGAATAAGGAAACATAAATATATGTGTAATTATCTATATTAATAACGTTTTTTTGGTTAGAGATATGTAGAATTAAATGATAATTTGGTATTAATTAAATGCTATCAAATATCTCGGAGATTTTATTTTAGAAACTAATCGTGGACTAAGCAGAGATTTTTGCAAGATTCGTAAACGGAAAATCTTTAATGCTACTATTGATAAAAAAGGAATAGAACCAATTAATGTGGGAAGTAGTTAAGGAAATAAGATTAAAACGAATTGTATGTTTAATTTAGTCTTAAATGTCGTTTTTATTATAATATTCCTTAAATCTCTTATTCTAGATCCGAATAGGTTTAAACCGGGTAAAACCCGGATCCAAATGATTAAAAGCAAATAAAACCTGTAAAAATATATATGTAGATATGAGTTTAATACCATTAAATTAATCAAAGATTTGTAATCATAATTGGAAACGAATAATGCAGTAAATGCGATTTAGTAATATTGTAAAGAATATGCCATTTATGTAGAATGATTGTTGCGATTAGTTTCCAATTAGTTTTATTTTTGGGATTATAGTATCTCAAATTTTAAACTAATTTAGATTTTATTGTTTTGTTTACATAAATACGAAAATAATTTGTTCACCCACATCATAAAATATTACATCATAAAATATTACCAAAATATATATATATATATATATATATATATATATATATATATATATATATATATATTACGTAATATTAAATAAAAGATTATATAACTATTTTCATTTGATGGTGTAGACAAATTATTATTAATATTTATGTAATTTAATTACAAAAATAATTTAGAAAAATAACAAATATTACTTTTTATAACAAAACAAAATATTATTCGTAAAAACAATATTTATTATAAAAAATATTTTGAGAATCCTTTAGAAATTTAATATTAGATATTCAAATATATCAAAAACATAATTACGGATTATGTGAAGATTAGGATATATAATCTTCAAATAAACATATTTTATTATGATTTCCTTATGAATGTATATATTAATTGTTATTTTGATTTTAAATTTATTGCAATTTAAATGGGGAATTGCCTATATTTAATCTGTTATTGTAAAAGAAAAATGATGTAGCTTATTATTGGAGTATTTACACAAATTTATTAACATAATATATATATATATATATATATATATATATACTGTTAAAAAATAAATACATTTTTCTTTATAATTTCATAATATATTTATTGTTAAAATCTGGATATTTATTATGAGCATAAATATTGAAAAACGATTTTCCATTAAAATTGGCTATTTATTAGGGTCATTAATATGAAAGATTATTTACCATTAAAATAGGTAACTTCTTTGTAATTAAAGAAACATTAAACGGAATAAGTAGATGAATTAAAGACAACATGGCTTCATTTATCAGTTTGTAATTAAGACAACATCCCTAAAATTGCTTATCCAAGATCCGAACAGACTAAAACCGGGTCAAACCCGCATCCAAAAGAATTAAAGCAAAAAAGTACTGCTAAAATGTATATGTAGATTAATAATTAAATTCAATAAAAAAATTGAATTTTTTATTTCTCTGTTGTTCTTGGATTATTTTTTATTTATTTGTTTCAATAAAAAAATTGCGGCTAGTAATTAATAAAGAACCCTAACCGTCTGATTAAGATACTTTCCTAACATTTGACTTAAGATAAAGATAGTACAGAACCAAAAAGGTTAGATATGCGTCAGCGCGTAACAGAGAAACATTGCTTTAACGTCATTGTTCTCTTTTCTATCCATTTTTATGTAATAGATTATGGTTTACACCACTCGCGATGGAAGCGCGTAGATTCCACCTTCTCAGTCTGATTTCAATTTCAGGTGAACTTATTTATTAGCGACTATAAAATGTTTGAAAAATGCGACTTTTATTTAGTCGCACTGCCGTTTAGGTAAAAGAATAAAAAAACCCACACCATAAAAAAAATTTTTGGTATCTTAATTTTTATTAGATATATATGTTTATGAGGTTTGACAAAAAAATATCTTAGCAAATAAATTTTTTGATATATTTAGAAAACATATTTATGAATATTTATTGCGGTTCAATAAAAAAAACCGAATAAAAGTTTATTAAAATTTTGCTGCATATTAAATCAGAGTTTCCGGATCATTCAGATTTAAAATCAATTTAGTTTATATATATATATATATATATATATAATATGTATTTGAACCATCACCCAAAATGTTTAATCGACGTGAGACATTTATTTCACACTTATGTTCTTCACTAATTAAGTAAATTATGTCTCTTCTTTAAAATTCAATCAAAATGCAATTTTTTTTTATTAACTCAAATGTTTTAAAATATGATCGATTCGGGAAATTATGTCCATTTTTAAAAATTCATATCACAACATATGCTCAAAATAATCTAGATTTATATATGTTAGATGAACTATTTATTAATTCAAATGTCTTAAAAATGTGGTCAAAAAAGATGAGAAGAAGTATCTCTAAACTAATTAAAATAAATATTTGTGTTGACAAAATTAGAGGAGATAGAATTTTGAATATTTCCTTAAATAAATTAATTAGTTAAAATCAAAATAAAATTGATTTTTATTTCAATTATTGTAATTCTAAATTTACCATTTCTAATTGCAATTAAACTCATTGTAAACATAATTTCAATGGCAATTGAAACAATTAAGTCTATAAATTTGGACAATGGTCCAAATTTATTTCTCTTTTGATAATATAAATATGAACTGGAAAAAAATCACAATTAAAGAAAATTTTAAAGGCTAAGCAAAGCTCGTACAAACATATATACCATCCATTGAACATATATGAAATTGTTTTGGAAACAATATGTACATGTAGTCTTGTAGATACATAAAATACATATTGAAATTGGAAACTTTTATTTATTATTAGATGTTGATTTTTTATAAACGGCTAAATTTGTTATTCATCTTTGAAGGTTGAGGTCAACACATTCGTTGGAGACCCATAAGAATAAAGACATGAGAAGATGACGATGGAACATTTGATAGAAATGTAACAAATACATTTGAAGATTTTGTTCGTGAGCCAAGCTGATACATTTGTAAAAGAGACTTTTTGTTGATATTGCTATAGGTTGCAAAATCTTGAGAGTATTGAGAAAGACAAAAGATTAGCTCTCATTTTAGGTAGCTCTTGGTTCTTTTGTGGCATCTTTACATTGCTAAGATGATTGCAACAAAGTTTATAGACATTGTCATAAGTCTATTTGGAATGTCATGATTGTGAATTTTTGTGAGTTTATTTTGGCGATAATCTAGAAATTGGCGGGTACCTGCATGTATCATCAAGTTATCACTCACAATCAGATGGATACACGGAGGTTGTTAATATTGCATTGAACAATTTTTTCGATGTTTCGTTCAAAACATACTACAGCAGTGGAGTTCAGTGTTGCCTTGGGCCAAGTTCTGGTATAACAGGACTTATCATTCATCCATTAAAACAACTATTTTCCAAGTGTTATACGACCATGAACCGTCCGTGATTTCATCATACAAAGTGAGTTCTTCTAAGTATTGTGATTTGTTGGGCACAAATACTATAAAATTAGACCAAAAAAAAAAAACATATTAGTGTCTCATATTTATCACAAAAGTTTAGTCCAAGAGCAAAAATAGGCCATCATGTTTTACAGTAGACCCACAATTATATAAATAATAGTTGAACTAAATCTAGTAAAAATAGGCCATCATGTTTTACAGTAGACCCACAATTTTAGTTTTTATTTTGATAATTGAAGAAAAAAACAATCTATAACGAGAGAAATCAACAAACAAAGTTATGCAACTTGCAAATCATGCTTAATGAATGCTACTCCCTCCGTTTCACAAAGAGTATCGTTTTAAGATTTTAATCTCGTTTCATAAAGAGTGTAGTTTTGTGTTTTCAATGCAGTTTTTAAGACTAATTCTCTTTTTTATCCCTACTATTTTAGCTTTTTAATTAGAAAGAGTGTATTATTTAGTGTATTAATAAGAAATAGAAATAAAATTTGTTAACTTTTCTTAATTTGTGTGAAAAATGCTAGAACACTCTTTGTGAAACAGAGAGACTATTAAGTTGTCCATCGTTCTTGAAGTGGCCTTAGGAGATTGATCATAGGCTATTGGGGATAGTCTTACACCACACATCATACAATTCACTATTGAACTATTTATGAAGGGATCAAGTTGATTAGAAGCAAGGATCCATGCATGATATTTCTGAGGAACTATATCCTCTTTTTTACACAACAAAACCAATTGGTCAGAACTCCATTAAATACTTTATTTCAAGCATTCTCTATGGGATTAGAAAGGTTGGTGGATGTTGTTCTCATAGCCTTAGTTAAATCAACCACACTAAAATGGTTTTCCTTAGGCAATAGTTTGATAGACTTTGTTGGAACCGAAAAACCAAACCGAACCGAACCGAAAAGAGTTTCGGTTCGGTTCTCGATACTACTACATACCCGAATGGATCTCAGTAACACTATCTACTGGATATGGTTAATAACCGAACCGAACGAAACTGAACCGAATATCCATGGGTATCCAAATCGAACCGAAAATGTGTGGTCAACTCTCTACAAACCTACATTTAAGCCTAATACATTTTGTCCTAGCCTCTAACCCAATAGATTTTTGTTAATTTTTTTATAATTTGGCCCATTGTATTTTAGATAGTTGACTTACATTATTTTAGCGTTGAAATTAAAAAGATATTGTATTTTTATTAAGATATAAAAATTTAGAGTGCAATTTATTTCAATCTAGAATTCGTATCTGGTGAAATCTTAAACTAGACAAGACACCTTCGCACTTTTTTTTTCTCTCTGGCCCAACAATCGAGAAACGTCACTTGACCATCTTCTCCGGCGCCGGTATAGCTCTTGCTTGCCGGCGTCGGGACAAGTTCTTTCAAGCTTTCTTTTGTTTCACAATGATCTCCGTTTCTTCTTTTGTATGGCCATTCACTCAATCATCTAGCTTAATCTCGTGTGTTAGAATGGAGAGCGGCGTCTCATCCTCCATCGTTCACAATTCAAAAGACGCTGGTTCTCTCTCGGTATCCCTTAAAGCCTCCTCCCACCGGATCTCGTCGCTGTTAGCTACTTCTTCACCTCCCCCTAAGATTCAACCAAATCTCCCAAGTCTCGTCTTCGAGTTCTCGGGATGCTTACCGTTGGGGAGTTTCCGACCGATGCTTCTTCCGGTGAAAGAAAAGAAGATGAGCGGCAGCGCAAACCTAATTGTCGTGGGTGTCTCACGAGAGGACCCTTCTTTTCCCCAGGTGGGCTTAGGCCCTTTTTCCTTTTCCTCGAGGCCCATTTTTGAAAGGTGTGTTTCAAGTTGTTTTTTGCAAAAGTCCAGGTCTGGTCCACACCCTCTCTTGTTCTTCCTTAGTCAATTTTTGAGCCGATTCATGCCACCTATTGATCGAGGACGTCAATTGGAGCATAATCTTTCATTGTTGCTATGTTGGTTCAAGATTTATTTGAGAACCCTGCCTTTAGAACCACCTAGTTGTATTATCCATGAATTTAAAAGCTTGAAGAAGGACGGCATTATGATCCCGTCTCTAAGGAGCGGTGATTACCAAAACTTCTTCAACTTTTCATCCCCACTTCATCTGTTTACCGAGTCCAATCAATTGTTATTGCTATTTAGCATCATTAGGGATTCTCCCCTTGAATTTAAAAGCTTGAAGAAGAACGGCATTATGATCCCGTCTCTAAGGAGCGGTGATTACCGAAACTTCTTCAACTTTTCATCCCCACTTCATCTGGTTACCAAGTCCAATGAATTGCTATTGCTATTTAGCATCATCAGGAATTCTCCCCTTGAATATAAAAGCTTGAAGAAGAACGGCATTATGATCCCGTCTCCAACGAGCGGTGATTACCGAAACTTCCTCAATCCTTCATATCCGCTCCCTCTGATTTTTAAACTCAAGATCGTACCCAAAGAAATTTATATCTTTCAGGATATTCTACTTTTTGTCCCAACGTCCTCGTTGCGTTTCGTGTCGACGAACCAAGAGGCAAAGGACTTTTTCTCAACGTCACATGATCTTTTGATAGTGACTACGACAAATTTCGCCGATTTGCTCGCGGAAGTGTCTATGACACACTTTGAGGTCGCTTGTGGTATGTGGCTTGTTTGCCTCTGTCTATGACTCTCAATGGCCTATCCAATCTTTATATCTATCTTTGTTGCTAGCTTATGTTTTTCGAAGATCTTTGTAATCTTTTTCACCCTTGAAGACCTTGTAAACTCTACCCTTATGGGCTTTGATTGAATGAATACAAGTCTTGTTTGACAAAAAAAAAAAAAAAAAAAAAAAAAAAAAAAGTGCAATTTATTTAGGTTAAAAACACCATTTTCCCAATTTAAGGCCGTGAATGGTAGCTAAAAAGGAGGGACGGTTTTCCATTGCGTACTGAAAAACGCTTTATGTCACCATTCAAGTGTGTATCTCGAAATTTGCGTTTTTTAAAAAAAAAAAAAAAAAAACAGAAATGCGGTTTTGTCCAGAGGATTAAACGGTGGACCGCCTTTCAAGTTATTATGCAGTGTTTTTTTGAAAAACGCAAAAGATAACGTTTTTTTTTTTTTTTTTTTAAATTTCTATTTTTTAATAATAAACCTACTCTCCCCTATATATATGTTATATGACCGATACTACACAATACTTAAGAAAACAAAATCATTCTCTCTATCAAAATCATATTACAGTTCCACCACATCAATTTTCTTTATTATTTGTTCTCATTCGACTCTCCTCTATAATCATTTGCTAAAGTTCGTGCATTCTATCATACTCCAACTGCGTCAAATTTTATAGTTTTCTCTTCAGTTCTCATTTTCATTTTCAGGTAATAATTATTTTTTCTTAAACACTTAATTCAATATATTTATCTAATAATTTAATATAAAGAATACATTTGATAAATGATTTGGTGGATTTAAAAGTATTTGTTAGAAAAAAAAAAATATCATTCTTCTCCTTTTAATGTTTGAATATATTTTTTCTAAGAATTTTTTTAGAAAATCCTTATTTTTATTAAAGTTGTGAACTAACCTATGTTACCATTTTTCTTAAACGTAGTTCCTTTTTTTTTGAAAAATAATTATAACATATTATAAGTAATTAAATTAAAAACTATGTAGACAATATAAATTTTATATTATAATTTATTTGTTATTGTTGGTTGCTTAATATTGAAAAACATATAATATTTTGGTGTTTTATTAATCTCGCTTATGTTTTGAAATAAATAATGTTTTTTTAGTTTATTTTTGAATTATGTTTAGGTTGTTATTGTAAAATAATCTATGATTAATAACATATCGTTTGTATTAAATTTCAGGCATTTCGTATATGTCAGTTACGATCACAAGGCCTCAACAATTTAACTTACGAAGAAAGAATTGAATTGTGGAATTTAGAAAACGAACAATTTGAAGAGTTAGTAATTCAACCAGCTTTGACTTATTATGATCGATATTTTCAAAGAGCACCGGTCCAAACCGATGGAGGTTTGGGATGGAGAAATATTTGGCGTCGATTACAACAAGATGATGCTGCCTGTCTTCAGTTATTACGGATGTCACTTCCATGTTTCACAACATTGTGTAATATATTGCAGACAAATTACGGTCTACAACCAACACTAAATATAAGCATTGAAGAAAGTGTGGCTATGTTTCTACGGATATGTGGACACAATGAAGTTCAAAGAGATGTTGGTTTAAGATTTGGCAGAAATCAAGAAACTGTGCAGAGAAAATTTAGGGAAGTTCTTACGGCTACTGAATTATTGGCATGTGATTATATCAGAACTCCAACAAGACAAGAACTTTATCGAATTCCTGAAAGACTTCAGGTAGACCGGAGATATTGGCCATATTTTAGTGGATTCGTTGGAGCTATGGATGGAACTCATGTATGCGTAAAAGTAAAGCTTGAGTTACAAGGAATGTATTGGAATCGACACGATAATGCATCAATGAACATAATGGCAATATGTGATTTGAATATGTTATTCACATATATTTGGAATGGAGCACCTGGATCATGTCACGATATAGCTGTTTTGCAAATGGCACAACAAAGTGATTCTAAATTTCCTTTGCCTCCGTCAGAGAAGTATTATCTTGTTGATTCTGGCTATCCAAACAAACAAGGGTTTTTGGCTCTTTATAGATCATCACGAAACCGAGTTGTGAGATATCATATGTCACAATTCTATTATGGTCCTCCTCCAAGGAATAAACATGAACTGTTCAACCAATGCCACGCATCATTACGTTCTGTTATCGAGAGAACTTTTGGAGTTTGGAAGAAAAAATGGAGGATTATTTCTGATTTCCCAAGATATAATGTTCACATTCAAAAAAGAGTAGTAATGGCTACAGTGGGATTACATAATTTCATCAGAATTTCAAATTTCTCAGATGCAGATTTCGCAGATGTAGTGACAGAAACAAATATAAACAATGGAGATTTTGAGCATGATGTAGGTGACATGGATGCAGCAGAATTAGCAGATGGAGAACATATGACGGAAATAAAAGACAATATTGCAAATATGTTATGGGAAAATCAAAATAATAGATAATACTTTTTTTTTAATATGTTGTACTTTTAACAATATGTATGTTAAAAAATTAAGTTTATATTTTGATCACTTTGTGTATTAACGGTTTATAATTATATGTTATTGTTTCTTCGTTAACAAAAAAAATTAATTAATCATATATATATATATATAATCTATAATCTGGACCGCTTATTGATTTGTTACCATTCAAACATTTTATTATGTACCGCAATTAGTTTTTTCACCAATCAAACATTATTCCGCACCGCTTATTTTGTACAAACCGCACTTGTCCCGCAAATACTTTTCTCCCGCACGTACCGCAGTTGAACCGTACCGCACTATAATACCGCTTTTCCCGCACAACAAAAAAACGCTGTTACCATTCGGACCCTAAGTTTAACCATTCACCAAATTTATTTATTTTTTTCTTCCAACCCAAATGTTTATAATCAATCACCTACTACACAATTTAACCCAAAAAAAATGTCACATGAAGTCGGCAAGAATCAAATATATTACAAAAAAAAAAAAAACTATAAAAGTAGCAAGTCATGAACGCCGCCGTCTTCCTCCACCGTAACAAACGCTAACGTCATGCTAACCTGCGCATCTACCTTCTCTACACGGTGGAGTCGCATCGTCTTTTTGCTCCTCTGTTCACCTCTTCTTCTACCTCTTCTCTGCCTTTCAATTCCTCTCCTCTGCGCCGTCGAGATTTTTAGCCGCCTCCTCAGTTGTATCGTGAAAGCTCCAACTTCCTCCGCCGTGTCGGAAGTCCTTGCCGTCGATGAAGATGATTTACGGCTCCGGCGATGTGAAGAAGGATTTGGAGTGAAAGAAAAAGATGAGAAAGAAGAAAGTAGTTTGCTTGATAGATACTTAGATGATCAGTTGAGTTTGGCTAAATCCATTTGCGAAGATGACGGCGATCGTGATAGTGATTCTATTAGGGTTCCTCTTTTGTCGTAAATCTTTTTTTTTTTTTAACTAGTAAAATGTAAATATAGATAGAATATACTTTCGATTAATCTCAATTTATGATAATAACCACAAAAAAAAAATCTCAATTTATGATTTTTTTTTCCTTGAAATCTTGGTGACAGTTATTATCATCATACACTTCATCTTTTCATTTGAAATGATATTTAAAGTTTTTGCACACATATTAAAAAAATCACAAAAAACTCATTTAATTTATTATTTTTACATAAAAACATCATTAACTACAATTAATTCAACAAATCATAAAAAACTATAAAATATCATTAGTCAAAAGATAAAAATTAAAGTGGACAAACATCACTTAAAATAAAACAAAAAATATTCTCGAAAACATCATTTAAATGATACGGAGAGAGTATCCATCTTTTATCATTGAAATTAGTCACAATTGATCGTAGCGGTCTTATAAATTATTTATTTATTCCAAGTTTAATGGTTTTTTTTTGTCTTCTCAGGTTAATAGGTCTATCTCTGAGTCATCTTAATCGCGATAACAAAACATGATTTTGGGGTTTTTAAACAGAACGTATTACTAAATATCGGATTTGCCGAATTTTGAAGATTTTTGTGTTATAATTTGAAAACCACAATTAGTTTGTGTTGTGTAGTAAAAATGTTCCAAATTTTCTTATGTCATAGCATTTACATGAATGTTAAGACTTTAGAGACGAGACTATGCACTGGACACTTAATTTTTGAAGATACCACTTGAAGCCTAAGGCATGGTTTCCTTTAAAAGCCATTCAACACTCAAAAGTCATAACATTCCTCGGTGAAATTTGGAAGCAAAATGAAAAAAGAAGAGAGCAAAATACAAATATAAAACAAAAGAATTTAGCAAACAGAACCAAACAAACATATAAGTCGGTGACAAAGAAAAAAAAAACACAACCAACAATCATATGATCAAAGTTCTAAACTAAGAAACACTCAAGAAAGATGCGACTTTTGTTACTCACATAGTAAAGGCTTAACCTTGAACCTGTAGATAAGCATTTTCTTGGTTGAAGTCGGGTTATCCACGGTTAGCAAAATCCTGCCAACTTCTCCAACTTTGAAGCTATGAGACACAACCGGTTCATTTTTCGCAGTCATCTTCCTCGGTTTTTGAATGATCACCGTATATCCTTCTTTGTTCTCCGGCACAAACTCTGCTCCATACGAAACCTCCCATCCCACTACTCTTATCTCCCAAACGATCGTGCATTTCTGCAGACAAAGTGTTTTAAGGCACAAATGTAAGAAGACTCCAAACTTAGCTGAATCTTGAGAACTTAGAGTTGAAACCACAATCTTTTCAAAATGGAAACCACAATCTTCAACATTTTAAACAAAATTTAGTTGTTTGTTGTACATATAAACGCCAAAAGCAATAATGTTGCATTTGTTTCTTCGTTTACATGTTACAACAAACTAATTTTGTTCCAAACAAAATCATAATCTGTAGCATTTATAACAAAATTCACTTGTAAAATCGAAAACGCAAACGCAAAACTAGAATGGAAGGAAAAACTCCGTTTGCACACTATGCAAACATATATAATGAAAACTGAAAATGTTTTTCCGTTTTAAAGTAGGTTTTGGACATCTTTTAACATATACAATCACAGAAATGGGCATTTAAAACAGTTGTATAAAAATGTCCAATACAAAAGGGTCTCACCTCGTAAACAATAATCTCGACGGTTTGTTTAGTAGTTGGTTTAATAGTAATCTCGGTAGCGATATCATCGTGTGTGAAATCGGAGTTGCAGTCGCAGTTATCCACACTTAGTCCACCATACTGAACCGGAACATGTTCTGGCGATATGTACCTATAAAACCAAAGACAAGAGAGTCACTTAACATTTCCAATAGTAATCGAAACAATTCGAAAAAAAACACTTCAAAAGATTTTGGCTATTACTTGAAAAGGGTTTCTGCAGATCTTGAAGGACCTGCGAAAACTAGTTTGCTCTTTGATCTTTGTGACATAAAAGGACTAATAATCCTATAGAACGCAAGGTACCACCATGGAACATTGATGAATATCTGATCAATCATTCAACATTCAACAATATCAGACCTAAGCAATCATAAAGTCATTGGTATGTGTAATAATTATTCATACCTGTTTAGAGACAAACTCAGGGTAATTATCTTGAAGAAGATGAAGAGCTTGCTTAGTAGCTAACCTAAGCTCAGTCTTACCAGGTCCTGGAGAATTCTTAAGATCATTTACTTGACATATCGTGGAAACACCACCAGCTACAAAATCAAGATTCCTTATACTCTTTTCAAGAAACTGAATCCTCCATCTCAAGAACCGTTCTCTCTTCTCTTCATCAGAAAACGTTTTCTGATAAAGATCTTTGTTCTGAAACTCACCATAGACATTGTAACAGACAGGATGATTGTCTTTGTCATGTCCTTGCATGAACACAACCTTGTCTAAATCGTCACCGAGGTTTTCATCAAGAAGCTCTTCGATGTTGAAGTCGATTCTCCACTGGAGTGTCTTGTTGAGCATTGAGTAAGCTTCTTGAGGTTTAAAGTCTCTTGCTCTTAGGAACTTTAACAAAACGACGTCGGTTCTGTCGTCTTTAAGAAGTGGAACACCCCATATGAAGCTTTTGCTTGAATCTTGTGATACTTGAAGAAGGTGACGAAGCTCGTGAAGTGCGTTTAACTCTGGTTCTGAAAGATCGGAGATTTTGTTTGTTTCTTCTTTGAATGAACCGAGACTACGAGGAATCTGAATCTTTGGTTTCTCTTCTGCTTCTGCTTCTTCTCTATTCATCATTTCCGCTAAAGATCTAGATTCAACGGTGGGTGCAGTAGTAGTAGGTGGTGGTGCCTGAGGCTCAGGGACTGACGCTGCAGCTTCTAACACCGCCGCGTCTGGTAGTTCTGGCTCTGTCCAATCTTCTACCTCCATGTACTTTCTCCGGTGCTCTAACATCAGTTTCTGTGATGGCTCTGTTTCCGGCGTCTCTGAATCATCCTCCGCCTCGTGGTTAAGCTCTTCTGGCTCCGAAATTACAAGCAATGACGTGTCTGTCTCCGAAGTTTCTTTTTCCGGCGTCGGCGTCACTCCATGTGTCTGCTCTGAATCCTCCGCCGCGTGGTTAAGAACCTCTGGCTTCAAAGTCGCTGTCTCCGGCGTTATTTGTTGTATCTGCTCTGAATCCTCCGCTGCGTGGTTGGGAACCTCTGGCTTCAAAGTCTCTGTCTCCGGCGTCATTTGATGTGGCTGCTCTGAATCCTCCACCGCATGGTTGAGAACCTCTGGCTTCAAAGTCTCTGTCTCCGGCGTCACTTCATGTGTCAGCTCTGAATCCTCCGCCGCGTGGTTAAGACCCTCTGACACCGAAGTCACCGTATCCGGCGTCATTTCATGTGACTTCTCTGAATCAACCTCCGCCGCATGATTTGACTCCTCTAGCTCCGGCATTAAAGGTAGTTGCAGATTTGGCTCCGAAGTCACCGGTGCCTCTTCTTCCGAAGTAACATGGTTTGGCTCTTGTTCTTCACCGGAAGGCATTGAAACGTCGGAGGTTAAAGGTGGCGGCGGAGTAGTAGTAGTAGTTGCAGAATCTTGAAGCATTTTTTTATTTTCTTGAAAAAAGCAGAAGAAAGGGAGAGAGAGAAAGAGAGAGATAGTGTTACGGGTTATTCAGGTTGAGAGGAATGGTCAAAGAAGAGGTATCCAATGTGTTGGTTCTAAATTAACAACTCAAAAAGCTGTCCTAATAAAGTAAAAGATGTCCTTTTCCTTTTTAAAGTAAATAATAAATTTGTAACCAGTACTTTATTAAACTATGCTACTTGTTGTAACTACCAAAATAATGATTTATGTTCGTGCATGTATTTTTGGGTTTAGCTAATGGTCTTCTAGAACATTTCGAGGTTGAATTGTTAGTAGATTTATTGGTAAATAAGGTAATGTGACGATTTTGGTGAGTAGCGTAATGCTTCTAGAAGATAGTTTTAGCACTCAAGTTAGCAAGTTAGAGAAGGCTCGCGGATTAGAAAATGTAACAGAAGCAGGATTAGAAAATGTAACAGAAGCATCAAATATTGTGCAAATGTATTTAAGTCTCGGCTAGTTTCTGAAATAAATGTGATAACATAAAAATTATAAAAGAGTCACATATTTTAGATGGTAAATAGAAATTTAAAGATAAATATCGTAAAATAACATCAAAATACAATGTTTGGACAATTATAACACATATTTCACAAATTTTTAAAAACAATATTGGTTGTTTATACAATGACTATTTTGTTTTTATTTAAAAAGTTTTTGAACATTTAATTAAGGTTTATCTAAATAGTTGTAAATCACAATATACGCTTACATTTTTATGAATGTAGTATTGAATTGTTTTCAACAATTTAGTGATTTGAGTTGGAACACTTTACATATTATTTATTCTATTTCATATGATTATTTTAAAACATATTATTTAGAAAGTTTTTCAACAATTAAATAAGGTTTTCTTAAATATTTTCTAACAAGTAAGTAAGACATCTTTAAACAAGGATATTTAAGTTTTTAAATATTAAATTTGTGTTTTACTCAATCATACATAATCATAAACACGAAATCTTGACATATTTGATTCAAAAATGCTAAACAAGCGTTGTATTGATTTTCAAAGATTGTGTGTGCCGGTAAAGTTCTAAAAGAGGTTTTATAGAGCTTCTACACAAACATTCACGACTTTAGCTTTCGTAATCCGGTTACATGTCTAGTTCTTATACTCAATCATACACACGGGATCTTGACGCATTTAACTCCAAAAACGCCAACTACGCTTTGTATTGATCCCAAAGCTTTGTGGGTGGGGGTGAAGTTTTAGAAGTGTTTTTTTTGGAGCTTCTCCACAAACATACGCGAGTTTAGCTTTCGGAATCCAGTTGCATGTCTAGTTCTTATACTTAATCATATACACGAGATCTTGACACATTTGACTCTAAAAACGCTAACCAGACGTTTTATTGATTCCAAAGCTTTGTACGTGGGGGTGAAGTTCTAAAAGTGTTTCTTTTGGAGCTTCTACACAAACGCATATGAAAGCTAAAGTGTATTTTTAAGGTGGTAATTCATACGGACCGCTGTAAATTAGAAATACATACACGTTTATATAAAATTCAAAGAGGGCAGTGTCACTTACTCAATGTTTTCATACTTTCTTCAGCTTAGTAGCTCCATTCATTTTCTTATCTTGATTGTGTTAACTCAAAATATACCTTATGGATGTTGTAACGACATATTTATATGGATCACTAGATAGTGATATATATATATATATATATATATATATATATATATATATATGAAAATTCTAGAAGAATTTAAAGTTCCTAAGGCATTAGACTCAAAGTCTAATGAAATATGTGCAGTCAAATTACAACAATCACTTTACTAATAAAAACAATCTGGAAGCATGTGGTATAATCGCTTAAGCGAATACCTATTGAAGAAAAGGTATGTTAATAATGAAATATACCATGCGTCTTTACTAAAAAATCTCCATTGGGATTTATGATCATTGTTGTATATGTTAATGACCTTAATATAATTGAAACTCGAAAGGACCTTGATGATGTAAGAACTCATATGAAAGAAGAATTCGAAATGAAAGATCTTGGAAAAACTAAATTTTGTATAGGGCTCCAAATAAAACATTTCCAAGATGGAATATTTGAGCATCAATCAATTAAGTACTCCAATTGTCAATAGATAATTGAATGATGAAACCGATCCATTCTGACCTTGTAAATATAACGAAAAAATACTTGGTCCCGAAGTACCCTTATATGAGTATTATCGGTGGACTTATGTATCTTGCAAATTGTACTCGACCAGATATAGCCTTTTCCACCAATTTACTTGCAATATACAATTCATCTCTTACTCGGAACATTGGAATGGAATAAAGCATATTTTCCGTTATCTTCAAGGTATGATCGACTTAAGATTATTTTATCCTAAAAATTCCGAGTTTGGTTTTGTTGTTTCGCATATGCAGGCTATCGATTAGATCTCCATGAATTTTGATCACAAACTGGATATGTTTTCACCATTGGAGGAACTACGATCACGTATCGTTCTCAAACGCAGACTTTAGTCGCTACATCTTCAAATCATGCAGAAATCTTTGCCCTTCATGAAGCATGCATAGAATATGTATGGCTAAGATATATGATTGAGCTTATACAAAAACCAAGTGGAATAGTCATCAGAAAAAACCCACAAGATTATACGAAGATAATGTTGCATGTGTTGTCCAAATCAAAGAAGATTATATCAAAAGCGATAGAACAAAAAAAATATCCCTCCAAGATTCTTCTTATACACTCAAGAACTCGAAAAAAACAAGAAAGTCAATATTCTGTACAATCTGCGCAAGTAAAAATGCAGCAGATTTATTCACAAAATCACTACGGACTATCACATTCAGAAAGCATATTCATAGTATCAGAATGCTTCATCTACGAGACCTATAGTAAAAATGCAGCAGATTTATTCACAAGGTTTTTATTCCGATGGGGTTTTCCGTGGTTAAATTTTTAACAATGCTACAACACTCGTGTTCCAAAAAGAATGAAATAGTTGTGTTATATCGGAAATTGGAGTGAAATCGATTCAATTCCAAATAGTTTACTAAGCTGTTGGAGTGATTAATTAAACCAAAGAATGATTTAATTAATATCTGATTTAATTAAATCATGATATAACCAAATTAAACCAAGATCCTACCAAAAAAAAAAAAAAACCAAATTAAACCAAGAAGCCCTTATTTTTCCTTAGAAGTTGACGCTAGCCTCCTCTTTTCTTAGAAGTGTAGTGACCTGCAACAAAAGAAGAGAAAGAGAGCTAAGTTTTGTGTGAGGAAGAGGGAGAGGTTGAAGTTTGGTAAAAGGAGAGAGAGACAGACCAGACATGTGTTGGTAAACAGAGTTTCGATGTATCAAATCGTTTTTAAAGGTAACTAAAATTTCAGGTATTATAGGTAAGACTTATATCTAGTTGTGGCCTTTTGCCGATATTGATTTGAGTCAATATTCTAAGAATTATCACTGTTTTCGTGAGCTCTTCTGTTTTAGACGCGATTTGGACCAGTGTGTATTCAATAGAAGATCGCGAGCGAACCCTTTGTCTGATCGTCACGAAATTTTGTCGGTAGCTTTAAGACACCTAGAAGAAGATTTGCAACGGTGGGATTTGAACGTGGACGGATAGATCTCGTTTCGTGATCCCATCTTTCAGACTGAATTTGGATTTTTAATATGAGTTATGTTGGTTTTGGCATGATTTTTAATTGGAAAAATTAATTATTATTTATAGGGATATTAGTTAATTAAGTAAAAAAAAAAGGCGGGTCGGATTGTTTCAAATGCAATATGTGACTCGTCAATGATGATAAATACTCAAGGAGGAGTGTTGTGAAGCAAGTGTGATTCTCCATCACTACACATGGCGTATACACATGTCCATAAAATAGACACTAATCATGAAGGAGTACACTTGTAAAAGAACCTTCTTCATCTGTTGTTTTTCCTCTACACTTGTCATTGTCTCCTCAACAAAAGCATGACTCAGCATCCTCTATTCTCCATTATAAATAGGAGCTTGTTCAAGAAGAGAAATATAATAGAAAGTTAGAGTAATGAAAATCCTCAAGAGGTTCTCCCTTCTTTTTCTTTTGATTACATATTTTAATGTTTTGATTTATATTTCACAATATATGCTATGTTTATGGTTGTGAGGTTTATTACGCGTTAGCTCTACTTTTAAGAGATATTTCAAAGATTATAGTTTCTATTAACAATCATGTTGATAAAAAAATTTAAGATAATATTGGTAAACATCAATTACATGAAAGTAAAAATGATGTATAAATTTAAGTTGGAGATATATTTATTTGTTTAATCCAATGTTAATTAGCACCTTGTCATAAAAATTTTTTTGTTACGTGGTTGACTAATTTGACATAAGTTCTTTTATTTAAGCTAACATGTTAAATTCTCATAGTATACAATTTTGATCTTTCCCGCAAGATATTTAAAGTTGCTGATTTATACTTTATGTTGAGTCATTTTTTTATTGTGAATTATTAATCTATCCATTGTATACAGTAGATTGTCTTGTAAAATTTTAAAATCATTATAAACGTATAGTAGATTGTTGTAAACTATTGAAATCTTCCAACAATCTTACGAATGATGATGCAAAAAAAAAAGAAAAAAAGAGACTATGTATATAGTTCAAATGGTAAAGATTCTCAAGCAAAGCCTAAAGGTCATCGGTTTGAGTGACACTTGGGAAAGGATCATATACATGTTCTGGTCTCTGATCTGAGAGGATATACGGACCCAGACCCAGAATCTCTTTAGTTATTAAAAAAACATAAAAACGATGTAAATAAAAAAGAAGATCGAAATATTCTGCATTTTTAAAAGTATTCATCATAAGCACTTTAAAAATGATGAGGGTCTTTAAAAGTTTTATTCATATAGATTAGAAAAATTATATATTTAATTTCAGTAACATATTTTTTACCTAGGATATGGAATCTTCTGAATATTTTCAAAGTTAACCATTCAATCATATATATAAGATGGACCGAAGAACTTCTAGAATTAGTCATATAGAATAAGGAAGTTACGCGTTAAAAAAAAAGATTAAGAAAGTTATTTTATTAATTATAAAATATTATTATTTAAAAAATTACTCGTTAACAATCATAAGTACACACACAATTAAAAGTACTACCAACTTTGGATGCAATACATTCTCCAACTCCATTGCGCTCCGCATAGCAGTTTAGACGACAGTCATCAGGGTAACATGGAGATAGATCAATGATTAGAGTACAACGTCTATCTCCCTTAGCCTTCTCAACAACTGAAAAAACTAAAAAAGTAAAATACCATATGTTATAACGTAAAACTATATTTGTGTGTACGCTTAGATATTTTATGTAATGTAAAGATGAAAACTAATTTTTGATGTTTAGAAGTGGAAAACATGAAATTATCTGACAAAACAAGCATGAGTATGAGGAAATAAGAACATGATATCTTGGCCATGATCAATGTATCACAACAATAGAAAGCAACTAATGTTTTGTAAATTAGAGATGATAAATGAAAAACTCTTTTCTTTGCTTTATTGTTATGTAACGTTTGTGTTTATATTTATCTAATGGTATAAATATAAACAGAAATAAAAATAAAAGAAACGTGAATGAATGTTGATAATTGTAAGACTACATTGATTACGATTTGCACTTTCTCACTATAGTAAAATTATAGCAATTATCTTATTTCATAGAAATAATTTTTTTTTTCTTCACTTGATGCTTCTTTTATGTGTAATACGTTTTATCTCTATAAATTTCTATACTTAAAAAGTGTAGTCAAAATTCAAACAAATAATTACTACATTAACATAAAAGTCTTGGCTAGTTCTGAAATAAATGTGACAACATAAACATAATAAAAGAGCCACATATTTTAGGTGATAAATAGAAATTGAAGGAAAATATCTTAAAATAAATAGAAATTGAAGTAAAATATCTTAAAATATCTTAAAATAACTTTAAAATAAGTTTTACGGACAATTATAACACATACTTTATAATTTTTTAAAAATATTAATAGTTGTTGATACAATGACTATTTTGTCTTTATCTAAGAAGTTTTTCAACAATTAATAAAAGGACTTCCTAAACAGTTGTAAATCACATCATAGTGACATGAGATTATATTTTTATGAATGTAATAGTGAACTGTTTTCAACAACTTAGTTATTTAAGTTAAAACACTTTAAATATTGTTTATCAGAAAAGAATCCACAAGATTATACAAAGATAATGTTACATGTGTTTTCCAAATCAAAGAAGGTTATATCAAGAGCGAGATAACAAAACATATCCCTTCAAGATTTTTCTTCTACACTCAAGAACTCGAGAAGACCAAGAAAGTCGATATTTAGTACATCCGCTCAAGTGAAAATACAGCAGATCTATTAATAAAAGTGCTTCTGACTACCACATTCAAAAAACATATTCATAGTATCGGAATGCGTCATCTATGGGACCTATAATACAATGGTTATATATATTTTCGAGGGGGAGTTTACGTGACTGTGCTCTTAATCCGTTATCAAGGTTTTTATCCCAACGAGTTTTTCCTTGATAAGGTTTTCAACAATGCAGTACGTGACTCGTCAAAGGTGATAGATACTCAAGAGAGAATATTGTGAAGCAAATATAATTCTCCATCACAACACATGACATATACACATGTCCATAAAATAGACACTAATCCTGAAGGAGTAACACTTGTAAATACACATTCTCTACTCGTTGTTTCTCCTCTACACTTGTCATTTTCTTCTCAACAAAAGTATGACACAGCATCCTCTCTTCTCCTTTATAAATAGGAGCTTGTTCAAGAAGAGAAATATAATAGAAAATTAGAGTAATAAAAATCCTCAAGAGGTTCTCTCTTCTTTTTCTTTTCATTTCATATTTTAATGTTTTGATTTATATTTCACAATATATGCTATGTTTACGGCTGTGAGGTTTATTATACTTTAGCTCTACTTTTAAGAGATTATACTTTTTATTAGAAATCTCGTTGATAAAAAATTTACGATAATATTGGTAAACATCATTTATATGAAAGTGAAAATGATGTATAAATTTAAGTTAGAAATATATTTATTTGTTTAATCGAATGTTAATTAGCAACCTTGTCATAAAAAGTTTCTGGTTACGTGGTTGACTAATTTGACATCAGTTCTTTTATTTAAGCTAATATGTTAAATTCTCATACTATACAATTTTGATCCTTCCTACAAGATATTTAGTGTTGCTGATTGATACACTATGTTGCGTCATCTTTTATTGTGAATTATTATCCATTGTATACAGTAGATTGTCTTGTAAAATTTTAAAATTATTACGTATAATAGATTGTTATAAACTATTGAAATAGGCCAACAATCTTACGAAAGATGATGCAAAAAAAAAAGATTATGTATATAGTTCAAATGGTAAAGATTCTCAGGCGAATCATAGAGGTCGTCGGTTTGAGAGACACTTGGAAAGTGACCATATAAATGTTATGGTCTCTAATCTGAGAGGATATATAGACCCAGCCCCATAATCTCTTATTTATTCAAAAAAAAAAAAAACAAAAAAAATGATGTAAATAAAAAAAATTATCGAAATATTCTGCATTCTTTAAAAGTATTCATCATAAGCACTTTAAAAATGATGGGGGTCTTTAAAAGTTTTATTCATATAGATTAAACAAATTCTATATTTAATTTCAGTAACATATTTTTTTACCTAGTATATGGCTGTGATTTTTCTTTTAAAAATATAAAGGTGATTGAAATCTTCTAAATATTTTCAAAGTTAACCATTCAATCATATATATATAAGATGGACCGAAGACTTCCAGAATTAGGCATATAGAATAAGGAAGTTAGGCGTTAAAAAAAAGATTAAAATGGTTATTTTATTAATTGTAAAATATTATTATTTAAAAAATTACTCGTTAACAATCATAAGTACACACACAATTAGGAGTACTACCAACTTTGGATGCGATACATTCTCCAACTCCATTGCGCTCCGGATAACAATTTAGACGACAATCATGAGGGTAACATGGAGATAGATCAATGATTAGAGTACAACGTTTATCTCCCTTAGCCTTCTCAACAACTGAAAAAACTAAAAAAGTAAAATACCCTATGTTATAACGTAAAACTATATATATACACATGGATATTTTATGTAATGTAAAGATGAAAACTAATTTTTGATGTTTAGAAGTAAAAAATATGAAATTACCTGACAAAACAAGCATGAGTATGAGAAAATAAGAGCATGATATCTTGGCCATGATCAATGTATCACAACAAAAGAAAGCTACTAATGTTTTATAAATTAGAGATGATAAATGAAAAAATCTTTTCTATGCTTTATTGTTATGTAACGTTTGTGTTAATATATATATATATATATATATATATACTGGTATAAATATAAACAGAAATAAAAATAAAAGGAACGTGAATGAATGTTGATAATTGTAGGGTTTGACTACATTGATTACGATCTGCACTTTCTGTAAAATTATAGCAATTATCTTATTTCGTAGAAAGAATTTTTCTTTTCCTTTCCTGATGCTTCTTTCATGTGTAATACGTTTTATCTCTATCAATTTCGATACTTATATATATTTTCGAGGCGGAGTCTACGTGACTGTGCTCTTTTTCCGTTATCAAGGTTTTTATCCTAATTAGTTTTTCCGGATAAGGTTTTCAACAATGCAGTACGTGACTCGTCAAAAGGTGATAGATACTCAAGAGAGAATATTGTGAAGCAAGTGTAATTCTCCATCACAACACATGACATATACACATGTCCATAAATGGACACTAATCCTCAAAGAGTAACACTTGTAAACACACGTCCTCCACTTGTTGTTTCTCCTCTACACTTGTCATTGTCTCCTCAACAAAAGCATGAGTTAGCATCCTCTCTTCTCCTTTATAAATAGGAACTTGTTCAAAAAGAGAAATATAATAGAAAGTTAAAGTAATAAAAATCCTCAAGAGGTTCTCTCTTCTTTTTCTTTGATTTCATATTTTAATGTTACGATTTATATTTCACAATATATGCTATGTTTATGGCTGTCAGGTTTATTACGCTTTAGCTATACTTTTAAGAGATACTAGATAGAAGTCCGCGCTACGCGGCGGAATATTTTCTTCTAAATAAATTTTTAAAATAAGTATGATTGAAATTTTTTTAGAAGTTTCTTAAGATTTGAAATCTTGCATTTGCTCATATTTTGGAATTAATATATGTAACTCTCCATCACCAATAAACTTGAAAGTTTTGTTATAACCATCAAAAATTTTATTTTACATATGTGAATTTAAATTGAAAATATGAAAATCAAAACTTTTATTTTACATCAAAACTTCTAACCTAGTCTTCTTCATCTCTGACTCGTTCTTCGGATCTCACAGAGTTACGGATCGGAGCTATAAGCAGCAGGTTACGTCCCACCGAAAAGATTCGTTCTGATGAGGAAATTCGAGAATCGGGGGGGGGGGGGGGGGTTCATATAGTGTGGGATTTTGAGTACAAGTTGGTAGAAGAAACGGGTCCCGAGAGTCTGTTGATAACATTGAAAAATCATTGCAAACACTTGACTCTAGATATTTCATTTATGGCAAACCGACTGGCTACGAAAAAATCAAACAAGATAATAGAGCTCTTGTTCTGGCGCTGAGAAAATGTGGTTTCCAAATGAACAACGTGGTTACAAAAACGGTCATTTGTCTGGGTTTGTGGAAAGTATATCCGAAAATCATTCCATTTTCCCAATGATGATCCTCACGACTATAAGACCGATTTCGCCGATATCGAAATCGTGAAGGATATGGTCTTCCACGCGATTGGGGCAACCACAAAGCAAAACATGCCACGCAACATCCTCTTGGTGACAAATGATAATGATTTCACCTGCACGCTTGAAGATTTGAGCGATAGAGGTTTTACGGTTATGGCAGCAGTCAATCAATCTACATATAACACGTATAATAGCATTTGCGGCAATGGTACGTGGATCTGGAAGGATATGTAGAAAGGAGCTAGATACATGTTCAGAGTATGAAGAGAAGATTTTAATTTATGCTTTGTTTAATCTTGTTTTCTGTATTAAATCTTGTTTACTCTCTCGCTTTATGTATTAGACCGATGAAAAAAAAAAGAGAAAAAAGAAGAAGAAATAAGTAGAATCTAGTATGACTTTCTCTTAGAAATATACAAAAATGAATACAATGTTAGATATATATATATAATACTTTCTAAAATAAAATTAGAATCAAATATTTGATTTTTAATCCATATAACAAAAACGTTAGACACATAAATATAGTAAAGAAGATGAGAGAATGATTACTTATAAGATGATAATCTAAAATAGACAATGAAGATACATCTTTAAAAACTAATAAATAAAAACAAAACTAATGTAAAATATATATCATATAGTCTCTAAAATTAAAATTTAGAATTAAGCTTTTATAATAATATTTAAATTGATTTTTTAATCCATATAAGAACAACCACAACAGAAAAAAAAAAAACACAAAACAAAAAAAAATTA